TGGAGCTCTCGGAGTCTTAAATGATGAGAAGAGAAACTTAAATTTCTCAAGTGATTATTATTTATGTGTTTCCTTTGAAACAAAGAGTATGTGAAACAAATAGGAAACCTCTTGAGCCTTATCTGATAATTCCCAAGTGACTTTAAAAGAATGCGCTCTGTCTTCTCTGCATCCGCTTGGGCTTTTCATTGAAGTTCATCAGCTTCTTGAAGATCAAATTCCCTAGAAAGGGATCCCAGCCGCTTGACTTCCCTACCCTCTAATTCCAGGCTACTGACCTCGTTATCCCAGCATCAAGCAGCCAGGTGAAAATGTGCTCACCTGGACAATGACTGAAATCTTTCCGCGTAGCTTGCAGCTCACTCAGGGATAGGGATCGGGTGGTTACCATCTCATTTATGGGTTCTCCCTCTTCCTCCTGTTCTCATGATGGCCCTGGTTCATCTTCATCCCTTACTAAACAGGCCGATTTTCTTGTGTATTTTCTTCTCATGTATAGGGGTGACTGATACTGGCAGGGGTTGGTTCTCTGGTTTACCTGCAATGCCTGTCACAGGAGCTGGAGTAGCCATGATGCCTCTCGCCAGGGTTGGAGTAGCCACGATGCCTGTCATTTTGTCATCAGATCCTGAGACCTTCTCTTCCCCCTGAGGGTTCTGAACAGGGCTCAGTAGGCATGGGCCAGGCCTCAGCACGTTGCAGTGATTTGTGTCTCTCTGGAGTTGCCAGGGTGACAGCATACTTTTCCCAAATACTTTACTAGTTTTTCAGGACTCTCCATTTGGTCAGGGGTGAAATTCCAGAACACTGGAGGTGCCCATTGTCCTAGGTACTTGCTCATACTATTCCACACACCCTGCCACTCATAACTATCCAGCCTTGGGGCAGATCTCAGGATGATATTCTTAAATTGCTTATTAACTTCAGACAAAACCGAAACAATATTCCCAAGAAGTACCAGCAGATGTATCTTAACTACCAAAGGCTGTTCAAGATACTGAAAAGTTTCCTCCTCTTGAAGGAGGAAACACCATAGGAGAGGGTAGCGGAGGTGCCATTCTGTATTTCCTCCATAAAAAACCTCCCAGAGGAAGAGGTATAATTGCTAATTGTTTCCATGAGGTGGTACCCAAAGTACAGTAATGGCTTCAGTATGAAACTCAAATACCAGGTTAAGCTCAAGGTCAATGTTTTAATAACAAATCTCCCAAGCAAAACATCACTGATCACTGCAGAGCACAGCAAACTGCAAAAAACAACACCAATCTATCTTCAACACGTACAGCAAAAAAAGGAGCAAGGTGCAGCTCAGATAAACTAATATCGAGAAGAGATGAATCACTATTGTGACCGGTAACTATTAACAGATATAAATTCCTTAATACACTGTGGTTAATCTGTTATTATCTCGAACCCTTTGTTGGGCACCAAAAAGGACTGTTGTGGTTTAACCCCAGCCAGCAACTGAGCACCACGCAGCTGCTCGCTCGCTCCCCCCACCCTGGTGGGATGGGAGAGAGAATTGGAAGAGTAAAAGTGAGAAAAACTTGTGGGTTGAGATAAGAACAATGTAATAATGGAAATAAAAATAAAGTAAAATAGTAGTAGTAGTAATAATAATACCATTAATAATAATAATAATATACAAAGCAAATGATACATGATGCAATTCCTCACCACCTGCTGACCAATGCACAGCCCGTCCCCAGCAGTGATTGCTGCCCCCCAGCCAACTCCCCCCAGTTTCTATACTGAGCGTGACATCATATGGTCTGGAACAGCCCCTTGGCCAGTTGGGGTCAGCTGTCCTGGCTGTGCCCCCTCCCAGCTTCTTGTGCACCTGGCAGAGCAGGGGAAGCTGAAAAGTCCTTGATGAGTCTAAGTACTGCTCAGCAACAACTAAACCATCAGTGTGTTATCAACATTCTTCTTGTACTAAATCCAAAACACAGCACTGCTCCA